GTGTGTGTGTGTGTGTGTGTGTGTGTGTGTGTACGTGCGTGTACGCGCGCACGTGCATATGTAAGTTTATATGTGTGAGCATCTGGCTGTGCCTGTGCATGTGCGCATGCGCGCATGCTTTTAACACGCAAACTTCCCCAAAAGCCCAAGAAATTCGCTGCAGAGTCACCGAATTGCTCACCTACTCATGGGTCAAGAGGTCAAGGGGGAACGTAGTGTGAAAGCAGAACACATTACATGTATGTGACACACGTGTAGATTGGTCACGTGACATGCTAGTGATGTGACTGTGACATGGAAGACTGGGAGTTTTGAGTACGAAGTAAATGGTCATTAGGATGAACGCCTCCTGCCAATTAATTACAATGGAGTCCACTTATAACGAGTCCTGAAATCCTGAAATAACGAGAAGTCTGTCATAAAGACACTGTTCTAAAACCCCGTTTTTTCCCTTCTTTATCTTTGTAAATAAAATACTGCTATAGCGCCATCAGACAAACACGCTAGTGGGTTATAACGGAATATTGCTGCTGCTGTGCACAGTGCACAGACCAATTAAACATAATATTATATATAAAAACTCGCCGGTTGAGAAAGTCGTTGGTGATCCCGAAACAAAGAATGGGAGAGCCCATGCGAACAAACAATGGAAGGCCGGAGCGAATGAGTGGAGAGGGTGTGGCACACGCAGACACGCAGAACGCATCGCGTTATACTGATAGGCCATCCCAGTCTCACAATGTTGTGATAGATGGAGTGAATGTGTGACGTGCGCAAGCAGACGCAATGCACCATAGGGTGTGGCGGGGTGGGGGACAACACAGCGGGCCAGTTAGCCTAGAGCCAGAGCCCCTTTTTTCTGTTCGCCAAAGACGAGCTGTCAACATTGCTAGTGCTAGAGAAAGAAACCTGATTCGATTTTTGATCAAGTAAGACCTGGAGACCATGTTGAACAAAATCATCGCCCCCCCCCCTCCCCCACGCCAACCTGCCTGAGTTGCTATTTAACTTGAAAATGATCACACTTTTTAGTCTTTTCGACTCTCACACAAAGTTATCAGCGTCATACCTAAATTACGTCCTGAAGTTAAAGTATATAAACATATTTTATACATTTGACAACTTTGAAACACGTGTGTCCCTTTCCCCATAAAACTACGACAGCTACAGAGTTGAAAGTTGGCAAGTACCTTCAAAAAGATAGATAGGTCCCCATGACGGAGCCCGAATTTTGGTTTATTCATTTCCTGAATTAAAAAAAATATATTTGATGAAAAATTCCCGTCCTTCTTTGGCCTTTGTGATTTTTCCACTGAGAAACGAAACAAATCTGTGTATTTGTCCTTCATAGCTGCAGTGCCGGAAGTGATATTTCGCAAGGGGTATATTGTTTTGAGAGTATAGATCTAGACCTTCTAATTTTGTGCATCTCTCAAGATTTATTGCTCCATTCCAGTAGAGTGTAAATATAGTAGGCCAATGACTTTCAGTTGATGTTAATGCACCGATCATTCTTTCATCGAAAGGGGGCTCCAGCTAGTATGTATATAAGCCAGTAATAGATACATCTTTTGAACAAATCAGAAAAACAAAACAACTTGTTAATTGATACGTTTAAGTATAATATGATATACATACACTGCGCATATATATTACCAATAGACTAGACAGTCTGCATAAAACGACCCTGCGATGCCAGAAACAAGTTTGGAATATGATAAATTAAAATACATGTACAATATTATATAGGTATGTTTCACGTGTGCATGCGCGCACAATACGACATGTGCAATAC